GCACAGTAGGTTGACTGGCTCACTCTTGGTTTCTGCTCAGGTTGGGATCTCAGGGTTGTGGATCGAGTCCCACATGGGGTTCTGCACTTAGCACAGAGTCAGCTTGAGACTCTCTCTCCGAATGCCTCTCCTACCCCCTACCATGCTCTCTCTTTCTCACTCTCTCAAAGAAATACATAAATCTTTAAAAATAAACAAATAAATAAATAAATAAAATCAATTCTAAAGGATTAAGTAGGTATAATCATCTACTCCAGCCAAAATCTTTGGGCTTTATTTTTTGTGTTGTAAAGAGATACTATGATATCTGACACAGTGATGATTGAAAAAATCCTCCTAAAAGAGCTTGCTAATGGATAATCAACAATTATGTGAGATAACTGTAATTTGCTAGAAAACAGCCGCTGATGAATACGACTCAGAACAATCTAATATGAATAAAAGTACTCCCCCTCTAATAAAAGTACTCCCACTCCCCCTGCTTGTGTTCCCTCTCTCACTGTCTCTCTCGGTCTGTCAAATAAATAAATGAAATCTTTCCAAAAAATATTTTTATTTATTTATTTGGGAGAGAGAGCATGAGAGACAGCACGAGCAAGGAGGAGAGCAGAGGGAGAAGCAGGCTCCCCGCTGAGCAGGGAGCCCAAATCAGGACTCGATCCTAGGACCCTGGGATCATGACGCTTAACTGACTGAGCCACCCAGGCGTCCTCAAATAAATAAAAAAATCTTAAAAAAAAAAAAAGTAAAAGAAAAGGAATCTTTTTTTTTTTAAGATTTTATTTTTTTATTTGACAGAGAGAGAGCACAAGTAGGCAGAGAGGCAGGCAGAGGGAGAGAGAGATTAGCAGGCTCTCTGCTGAGCAAGGAGCCCAATGCAGGGCTCGATCATGACCTGAGCCAAAGGCAGCTGCTTAACCAACTGAGCCACCCAGGCGCCCCAAGAAAAGGAATCTTAAGGGACTCTATTACTGGACCTACTCTTGCAAAACGACCTCCATCTATACCTAACAGGCAATGAGCCTGGGCCTGTAGTCAGCCATAAGCTGAGGACGGGAATATCTCGTCCACAGGTAGCAGGGCAGTGACCCAAAACTGCAAATTACAGTTGATTCTTGAACAACTAAGGTTTGAACTAGGTGGGTTCACTTATATGTGGATTTTTTATAGTACAGTAAATGTATTTTCCTTCCTTATGATTTTCTTAATAACATTTCCTTTTCTCTACCTTATTTTATCATAAGAATACAGTACGTAATACATTTAACAAAACGTGTTAATCAACTGTTATGTTATTGGTAGGGCTTCCAATCAACAGTAGGCCATTAGTAGTTAAATGTGGGAGAAGTCAAAAGCTATATGTGGATTTTTGACTGTGTAGGGGGTTGGCATCCCTAATCCCCATGTTGTTCAAGGGTCAACTGTGTGTGTCATAATAATGTGTGTCATAATAGTGAAGGTTTTGCTATTTCTAAGGATCTACAGTAAACATTTTCAGGAGAGATATTTTTTCTCACACTTGAGAAATCACTAGAACACTCCACAAAGAAAAAAGTCTTTCCTCACCACAAAAAAAAATGCCAAGACCTACAATTAAACAAGACAATCTACTAAGCAGTTGTATTATGCATGTGTTTTCTCTTGTTAGAAATTATCTAGCTTAGGGGTGCCTGGGTGGCTCAGTCGGTTAAGCATCTGCCTTCAGCTCAGGTCATGATCCCAGGGTCCCAGGATTGAGCTCCACATTGGGCTTCCTGCTCAGCAGGGAATCTGCTTCTCTCTCTCTCTCCTGCCCCTCTTCATGGTTTGTTCTCTCTTTCTATCTATCAAATAAATAAATAAAATCTTAAAAAAAAAAAGAAATGATCTAGCTTAGAATTCTGAGATACAAAACGAAAAGAAACAAAAAAAAGCAAAAGGCAAATGTGAGGATACTCTCAGAGAATAAGAAGTAAGGTGATAGCTTCTGGGTCTCCAGATTAGTAATGGAAATAGAAAAAGGTAATGGACAATGCCATTAGGCCCTTAAAGGAGCTCAGTCTTCCTTTCTGTTATGAAGACATGGCTATGCAAAGGGCTACCAGCCCTTCTGATGGCTGAAATTATCTTTGAGTATCATGGCCCTAACTTTGATTGGCTGATAAAGTCAACATCATTCCACCAGCAAAAAGCAAAACATGTTTGTCTGCTTACATGCTCAGTATTAGCTTTCTCAATTAACAATTTTATTCAAGCAAAGTGTATAACAAGCACTAGTTCTGTCCTTACAACATTTTCCTCCTAAAACGGACCTGTCTTCTTCATCTCAATAAATGGCACAACCCTCCACCCAGCTCCTTACAATAAAAAACGAAGAAGTTATAGTTGACTTCCTTTTTCCATTGCCCCCACGTCTAACCCACCAGAAGTCCCATCAGCTCTGCCTCCAGAATCCATCCCATACCTAAGGACTCTTCTCTAACTCCCTCACCACCCTGCCCCAAGCTACTGCCACGATCCCTGACTCAAGTACTGCAATAGCCCAGGTGGTGTTCCTGCGTCTACTTCTGCCCCCTCTACTCCATTATCCAGAGACCAGGCTGAGTGATCCATGTAAAATACATTCTTCCCCTGCACAAAATCTTCCAAAAGCTCCTAATTTAAAAAAAAAAAAAAGTTTTCCTTCCATGGCTTTCAAGACCCTGCACGTTCCAACCCCAAGTCCTTTCTGCCCTCAACTCATGAAATTTCAGCTTCACAGGCACTCAGACTGTGCTTTGCTTAGGTCCTGCCTATGCTCTCCCCAGACCCTTTGTACTTGCCAGCTGAGCTTCCTGGAATGACCTTCCCTCAGACCTACCATCGTTCCCTTCCTTAGGGAAGGGACCAAAGTTGGGGGTGGGAAGAGTGCCAGTTATGAGTTTATTCCCACATGGTGCTATGTCTCGAAGGCAACTGTCCTCAAGAGAATTGTTGGTTAGAAATCCTCCCAACAGCAATTTTCTGGAAATCAGCAGAGAGACTAATTATCAGAAAATTTTCTCCACACAGATAGGTGCATTTCTCCCCATTCCTCCATTAATACCTCAGTCTACATAACTCCTTGTATTGCCACCTCTCCTGAGTTTTGAAGAAAATCCTTGACTGTGCATATAGCAAATGCACAGTTCTGTGACTGATCCGCTGTTTAAGTATTTGGCATAACATTTCTTACTAGAGTGCCTTTAATTTCATATTTGTTTTGGGTTTAGTTTGGCAGGGGGAGTAGAGATGTATTACAGAGCCAACAAATAAAGTAAGGAGAAAGTGCAATCACATAAAGTTGGGGGAAACAAATTCCCCATTATAAGGAAATTACTCCCAACCATATTAAGGGATTGTATTTTTTGTTTGCTTTTCCCTCTGCATGCCACACTCAACTGTCCTCCAAATAGACAATGATGGGAGGAATTACTACTCTCTAACACAAGGATGGAGAGGAGGTGGGAGATAAGAAGCAGCCAGTTCAGTGACTAAAAAAAAAGAAGAAGAAGGTAAAGAATTACCCTATTCTTTTCAGTTTATTCCAATTTCACATTTTTTGAATGATAAGATTGTTTACTTCTAAACTTTAAGAGAAGAAAATGCAGTCAGCTTGGGAATAGTTTCAATCAAAAGGCAAGTTTTAGACATGGCTAGGGTTTGCCTTTCTCTGTACCATATTGATTTTAAATCCAACTCGTAAATTGATATATTTTCTAGAACACAGCTCTACAAGACTTTAAGCCCACCACAGTCCCCAGATTCTGCCTCTATAATAACACACACCTTTCACCAAAAAAAAAGGGGGACGGAATTTAAATTATCCAATTCTTCCTATAGAAAAAAAGATCTACCTAGCAGTAATTAGCTATAATGTCATTTAAAAAATAACTGAATAAATAAAAAGATCTTAAGAAGGAACTTTCGTAAGTCACAGCACATCCTGAGGAATCTTCTTTCACATGGGAAGTATCAAGAAGATCTCACAATATTTTATGTGATTAATTTTCTTAATACTGAAGGAAGAATCAAGGAAGAACATAGGTTATAATGCATGAAGAAGAGAAAGAAGAAATACAGGACATATAGACATTTTATTATTTACTCTCACGTCTTGATCTCAGTCAGGGTTCATTTTCACTGTCTTTCAAAACTCACCATTATCTCACTCATTGGTCAATAGCATATACACTGAAGGCACAGAAGGGTATATATAGTTGGAAGCAAAGAACAACTGTAACTAACCCATATGGATGAGAAGACATTACTCTGCCTCACAAATATCTGGGCTCCACACAAGTGAGCCAATTAGACCTTCAATTTTCTTATGAGAAAATCATAGGAGAATTCTGATATATCTGGGTTTTAGATGCATACTCAACACAACTACCATGTCACACATGTACCACATACCTGAGAAAGATTAGCAATACCCTGGCTTGAAAACGATAATCCAGCTGTCCTGATATTCATTAGGAATTATGAGTATGCCTTTTGGATTACTGTTCTGCAGTATTAATTCTCTTGGTGAATGGGAGCTGGGGAGAAAGCGGACAATGCTGCTTCATACCAATGGTTACTACACAGATGAGCTAAGAACGCACTGAAACAGTGTTCTAGGCATCCACGGAAACCTGCGGCCCACTGGGAACAAAGTTCTGGCCCTATGGTACTGCTTCTGAAGTAATGTCCTCGACCAGCAAAGTCAGTAGTCCTGACTCGAGCCACTTTAAAATCATCACTGATTAAAGCAGGCTAGAAAACTGTCAAAAGTGGCCATCTGTTAAGAAAAAGAGGTTTGGCCAATATACTTCAGATTGCTCTAGTCAAGAAGGAATGCATAGAAACAGACATGCTGAGTTGCTGAGTGGCTGAGGGGAGGATGGCGGCTTGCATCACATGTTGGTTTTTCAATTGTAGGGTGAGTGGGCAGACACCTATCACAGCTGCTATTTCGACTGCAATCTGCCTCACAGACTGAAGTCAATGTTCCTACTTACATCAAACGGAGCTGAACTTGATTGGGCATTTCGATCACACGGTTCCCTGAAGCAGTCACTGAAAGGAAGTAGAAGACCCATGGCAATGATCCGGGAGCAAAACTTCTCTGCTTCTTCTGGAGGCCCGTTCTCCTGCTGGCTGAATAGCTTCTCCAAAAGAGTTCGCCCTGCAGATGAAACAGTCATTAGGAAGGAGCATCGGCAAGTCACCTGGCTCAGAACCCTCCCAGAGGAGCAAGGCCTGGAAAACACAACCCGTGAGCATCACTGTTGCCAAGGCTACTGAGGTGCTTCTCAATTACAGAGAAAATCTGCAGTCTGAGGCCTGAGTTTCCACATGGGAAAAGGCAGCTCTGGTTTGCTCTCCCATCCCCCAAAACATTTCCTGCCCCAAAAGAGGATGATCACGGGATGGACTATACATTTTCCACCTGAAGAAGCACCCAACTTTTTGGATTTCATTGGTAGCCCTTCTTCCTCTCTTTGTTCACCCTGCTGATGGCTCTCTAAGGGAGCAGTTACCAACCACCAAGTGGGCTAAGAAATGTCAGTGACTGATATTCAGTCTGTGGCATGGCAACGGGGAGGGGCAGGGAATGAGGAGACAGGAGGCAGGCAAAGGCCCTAACCCCTGAGGAAAGAGTTGGCTAGCCAATTCATCACCCTGAAGAGGAACCTGACAGGCTCAAAATTTTCTCACATACTCCTCAGAACCATAGCTCTAGGGTAGGTGCAAACTTCAGTTTTTATTTCGCTAAAAGAGACAGGAAAAGAGATGCACAAGAGGAGGCCACCAGCTGAGGACCCCAGAGGGCCTGGGTCCACCTACTGTCATGGTTCTCAATCCTAGCTGTACCTTAGATTCATCTGGGACAACATAATGACCAAAAATCCCTAATTCATTTCTGATACTATTTGCTCTCTAATTTATTATCCTTTAGAAATTGATTTAGCTGAGTTCTCCATTAGTCAACTCTGGTAGAAGAAATGGAAAATCGCTAGGGTTTCTTTCAGGGCCACAACTACTCCCTCAGTTCTGGACCTCCTCCTGCCCCTCCTTCATTCTTCAAATTTAGATTAAAATCACTTATCCAGGAAAGACTCCAGTGACCCCCTTCCATACCCTTTTGACACCCTTCTTAGTACTTTGTGTAATTAGTGATTTTAATTAATCATGTGTATACTTATATGTTTAATATCTACACCTCTTGGGGCCCCTGGGTGGCTTAGTCAGTTAAGAGTCTGCCTTCGGCTCAGGTCATGATCCCAAGGTCCTGGGATTGAGCCCCATGTCCTACTGGGCTCCTTGCTCAGCGGGGAGCCTGCTTCTCCCTCTCCCTCTGCCCCTCCCCCATTCACGCTCACGCTCACGCTCTCTCTCTCTCTCTCTCTCTCTCTCTCAAAATAAAATCTTTAAAAAAATATATCTACACCTCTTACTAAAATAAACTCTCTGACAGCCAGCATATATCCTGCAAATGTGGCCTCTCATACATAAGAAGTATCAATAAATATTTTTTCGGATTTCTGAATAAATGCAATGTTATGATTCTGTGACAAAGACTCATTCATATCATGGTCAGAACTAGAAAGGAGATACATCTATACCAGAGATCAGCAAGCTTCTTCTATAAAGGTAGAAGTAAATATTTTAGGCTTTGAGGGCCATGTAAGGTCTCTGTTGCATATTCTTCTTCATTTTTGTTTTGAATCGCTTTCACAATGTAAAAAGCATTCTTAGCTTGGGGTTCTGCAAAACCAGGCCCAGGTCTGTATTTCAGTTAGAACAACTGAATTTCAAATGTATAAATGTCTGTAAGGATACTAGTCATGCAATTTTTGTGCCTCTTCCTATTTTTGTTTTTACAACAGAACTCATTTCAAAATCTACCTCTGATATGTGGGATAACAAAGCAGAACAAAAGAGGCCTTTTTATTTTCTTCATTCTTTTAGGTCACTAGACAACATTCTTTGGTCTCCCAGGATTTTTCTTCTATAGAACTTAAGTTTCCCTTCATCTAGCTGGAACCAAACACCAAAGAAACCACATCCCTCAATTGTCACATGATGAATTATTGTTACAGTATACCCATTTGACACATCTTATGACTGAAAACAGCCAGAAAACTAAGTACTACTTTCCTATAACTCGGAAATTGTGTAGGACAGAAAGGGAGACAGGATCTTCTATATGTGAGAGTATTGAGTGTGAGTAAGTAAATGTGTATGTGTACATCAGGCCAAAAATTGTCAGAAAGGGTTATGGAATAATGTGGAAGAGAGGAAAGTACAAGCCCCCTGGAACTTCAGCTCTATGATGAACAAATACCCCTCAATCCTTCATCCAGGGCTTCCTAACCACGACTCCAGTGATGCCTTGGGATGGATAATTCTGTGGGTCCTGTGCACTGTAGGATGTTAGCAGCATCACTGGCCATTACACACTAGATGCCTGCACTTCCAATTCTAAGAGCCTAGGTGTCTCCGGACATTGCCAAATGTCCCCCAGCTTGAGACTCCCTGCCTCAACCTCTCTGAAGAGAACCTCCCCTGTTCGCACGGACAGTAGCTTGCTGCCCCTCAGTCTACATGGAGATATTGGGCATCAAATCCCACATATATTAGTGGTAAGAAGGGAGTGAGTGACTTCTCCGATCCCCTGAGCACTTTCAAATGACTTATTCTCCTTCAAAACCATCAGCATCTTTGTAAGTCCTGCCACTGGCTAGACCACATGTCATCCTTCCCCTTTCTGCCGTCCACTAACTTCTTGTCGTTCCTGATCCCCCTGACCTTGCCTCCTGACTCAACCACTGTGTTTTCCAACCTTACTCCTCTCAGTGATTCTGACATCCACATGGAGATCAAACCAACACCCAGGGAAATAACTCCTCTGAGATCTTGAATCCTTGCCTCCAGTCAGTGTTTCTTCTACCCCATACAAGCAACCCAATCGGAAGACCAATTTCAAACTCTACTCCAGCCTTCCATGGCTTTCCATCACCCTCAGAGCAAAACCCAACTCCTCACCACAACTCAAGACCCCCCCCCAGCCCCCACCGCCACTCCTGTCACCTCTTCCTGCTCTCCCTGAAGGCAGTCTCACCTACTGGCCTCTTCCTCCTCAACACACAGAGGTCACTCTCACCTCAGAGCCTTTTGTACTAAAACACTCTTTCCAAGATACTTGAATGACTCACTCTTTCATCTTTCATGGTTAAAAAGAAGGATGGCTTTATATATACATGGCTATACATGTGGCCATTAATATCATGCTATTATAGCTGCGAACGTCCCTAATCTGGGGAAGGGAACAAGCATTCATGTCCAAGAGGCAGAGAGGATCCCTCCAAATGTCAATAAAAATGGACCAACATCCCAGCATATAATAGTGAAACTTGCAAATCGTAGAGATAAGGAAGCTATCCTAAGAGCACCTAGGGGGAAGAGATCTCTTACATATGGAGGGAGGAACATCAGACCTGTCCACAGAGACCAAGCAAGCCAGAAAAGGCTGGTAAGACATATTCAGGGTACTAAATGAGAAGAACACAGAGCCAAGAATACTTTATCCAGCAAGGCTGTCATTCAGAATGGACGGAGAGATAAAGATCTTCCAGGACAGGGAGAAACTTAAAGAATGTGTGACCACCAAGCCAGCCCTGCAAGAAATATTAAGGGGGATTCTATAAAAGACCCCAAAAGTAATATAGACCAGAAATTTACAGAGACAATCTATACAAACAGAGAGTTTACAGGCAATATGATGATGGCACTAAATTCATATCCTTCAAAAGTTACTCTCAACATAAAAGACCTAAATGCTCCCATGAAATGGCACAGGGTTGCAGATTGGATAAAAAAGACAGGACCAATCCATATGCTGTCTACAAGAGACTCATTTTGAACCCAAACAACTTTCACATTGAAAGTGAGGAAATGGAGAACCATTTATCATGCCAACGGATGTCAAAAGAAAGCTGGGTAGCAATCCTCATATCTGAGAAATTAGATTTTAAACCAAGACTGTAGTAAGAGATGTAGAGGGACACTATATCATACTTATAGGGTCTATCAAATGAGAACATCTAACAAATGTAAATATATATGCCCCCCATGTGGGAGCAGCCAACTACATAAGCCAACTTTTAAACAAAATTAAAGAATCATATTGATAATAATACATTAATAGTAGAAGACCTTAACACTCAACTCACAGCAATAGATAGATCATCTAAGCAGATCAACAAAGAAACAAGAGCTTTGAAGGACATATTGGACCAGATGGACTTCATAGATATATACAGAACACTCCATCCTAAAACAACAGAATACTTATTCTTCTCCAGTGCACACAGAACTTTCTCCAGAATAGACCACATACTGGGTTACAAATCAGGTCTCAACAGATAACAAAAGACTGAGATGATTCCCTGCATATTTTCAGACCAAAATGCTTTGAAACTGCAACTCAACCACAAGGAAAAATGTGGAAGGAACGCAAACACTTGGAGGTTAAAAAGCATCCTGCTGAAGAATGAATGGGTCAACCAGGAAATTAAAGAGGAACTTAAACATTTCATGCAAACCAATGAAAATGAAATGACATCAGTTGAAAATCTATGGGATACTGCAAAGGCGGTTCTAAGAGGAAAGTACATAGCCATCCAAGCCTCTCTCAAAAAATTAGAAAAATTCCAAATGCAAAAGCTAACCTTACACCTAAAGCATCTGGAGAAAGAACAGACAATAAAGCCTAAACCAAGCAGGAGAGGAGAAATAATAAAGATTAGGGCAGAAATGAATGAAATAGAAACCAGAAAAACAGCAGAACAGATCAACGAAACTAGAAGCTGGTTCCTTGAAAGAATTAATAAGATCGATAAACCTCTGGCCAGACTTATCCAAAAGAAAAGAGAAAGGACTCAAATTAATAAAATCATGAATGAAAGGGGAAAAATCACGACCAATACCAAAGAAATAGAGGCAATTATTAGAACTTATTACCAACAGCTATATGACAACAAACTAGGCAATCTGGAAGAAATGGATGTATTCCTGGACACTTACAACCTGCCACTGAAACAGGAAGAAACAGACAATCTGAAAAGACCAAGAGCCAGTAACGAAATTGAAACTGTAATCAAAAACCTACCAAAAAAACAA